GCTTACAAGTAATAACTGCATTGGCCCATAGAAACAAATAGATATCGCTGGGTACTTGCAACCAGTTTGTTTTGAAAACTCTTTCTCGTTTCTTCATTTCCACTGCTGGCTATTGTGTCAGTGTTGTAGTTCACAATGTGTGCTTTATACACAAGAAGTGACAATTGTTTGGTTCCCTTTATAGTATATTCAGCAATTGCTCAAGCAAAGCAGACAAATCATTTTATTTATTTTCTTTGATAAAATAATGTTGCATCTAATGAATATAACTGCTAATTTGAATGTGGTATCTGTATTAGGATTTTTAAGATTGGTCAATCCTCTGAACTGTATAGATACCATACTCTACAAAAACATTAACGATCAGCGTGCTTACTCAATTCGCATGGGTTTCCCTCAGTCAGGGAGCAATCATTGATTTGTAAGACCTGGCATATTGGCTATGAGCATGATGAAATCAGCATTTTTTAACGTATTAAATTAATATTTTTTAACTCACTTAGCTGTGCCAGATCATGGGTTCAAAACTCTCTTTTACACCAATCATGAACCTTTGACTTACGAACTCACAAACTAAGCAAACTTGATAAGAGAACTCAATCACTCTGCACTCACCAAGCAAACTCACTCACTCACTCACTCTGCACTCACTAAGCGAACTCACTAACTAAGCAAACTCACTCACTCACTCTGCACACACTCAGTGAACTCACTCACTAAGCAAATTCACTAAGCAAACTCACTCACTAAGCAAACTCACTCACTCACTCTGCACACACTCAGCGAACTCACTCACTAAGCAAACTCACTCACTCACTAAGCAAATTCACTAAGCAAACTCACTCACTCACTCTGCACTCACTAAGTGAACTCACTCACTCTGCACTCACTAAGTGAACTCACTCACTAAGCAAACTCACTCACTCACTCTGCACTCACTAAGTGAACTCACTCACTAAGCGAACAAACTCACAAAATCACTCATGAACGAAGTCATGAACCAACAATCAAACAAAAATGCTGTCTGCACTTAACATGTAACAGATATATACAATTAAGGTCAAATATTCAAGAAACTGAAATCCTCCCCAACCAAGATCACATTACTGAGAGTTAATATCCCATTTGTCTTGTTCATGGTTGACAGTCTGAAGCTGTAAAACCGAATCTAATTTGTGATACAGAAAAGATTATTAGAGCTGAGGCAATCTGTTGTGATTGAAGGACATTTGATCTGCGAGCAGACAAGTGATTTCCTCCGATTAATGGCGGTCTGATAACATATGCTGGACCTACTGATCTGGTATTGATTAGCGCTTGGATCTGTGTCGGGGAGGTTTTGTCAGTCGTCAATGAAGCACCATTTGTGGACATTGATACAGGCAACACATGGGGAAGTATTCAGTCTTCATGATATCTGTGGGAACAAGGAAGCTTGGGTTGTATTCCCCCCAGGGAGCTGAGAATGGAAATGGAGTGCACACTGATCCATTGACCGGGGTAATAATGAGTGCCATGAACATTCACTTGGTAAAGGGTAATAGACCGCCTCCATGGTCTAGCGGTAGAGCGTCCACCGGGAGAGCGGAAGGTCCAGGGTTCGATCCCCGGCCGCATCATACCAAAAGACGTTAAAAGATGGTACTTGTTGTTACCCTGTCTGGCTCTCGGCATTAAGGGGCTAAAACAAGGACTGGTCGGCTCGGAGTCAGTATACTGTGTCTGAGTGGGGTATTCATGTTAAACTGCGGCATGGTATCTCAGTGAGCTAGCACTATAAATCAGCATCAGTCCGGACTAGTACAAGCAGCCACACAAACACACACACATGTACATGCACATCGCTTTATAAGTGCTATAATCTTGGACGCGACGTTAAACCCCATTTCACCTCACCTCATAACTGGACTTTTTTATTATTATTATCATTGTTATCATTATTATTGTGTGATACAACTTTCACTGATCGATCATATGATCTGTATACCAACTGTTTCCTGATAATTGATTATCATTCCCATAATCATCTGGTTGATAAATTTAAGAACAATAATAACTTTAATCACCATTTTCCGTTAAGATTCATTATACAGATAATAAATATATATTGTGGTGGCACGTGGTCCTGTGTGTGGTGGCACGTGGTCCTGTGCACATTGTACAGGTCACAAATCAGTCGAAGTTAAGCAACGTCGGTCTCGGAGAGTAGTTGGATGGGTGACCACGTAAAGCAGCTTGACTCCGGAGAGTTTCTAGGGCTTCGGTCCTGCCCCACACTGAAACACATGTACCACGTGTGGTGTCTCCTTAGGCAAGTGACTTTGTTTGAAATGTTCCTCTGTTCAGCCAGCAGTGAGTGGGTACCCGGAAGGATGAGATGGTAATGTGGCTGTTAAAGTTCTAGTGCCTTACAGGCAGCTTTGGTTCATACTCTCCAGGGAGCTGAGAATGAAAATTGAGTGTTACCGATCCATTGACTGGGGTAATGATGGTGTCACGCTCAGAACTGCTACATGGAGGCTAGCGCATTAAAAGTGCACATTAATATTGACAACTCCTAATGACAGATTTCTATGAGCGAGCAGTGAACACTTAACATACCCTGTCAAGTGAATGTCCCCTTTTCGTATATCTAGTATATCAGTTATTCAGTGTTACAAGTAATTCTGTAATGACCATGATGTCACTCTCACTCACTCACTCACTCTCACTCACTCACTCACTCACTCACTCATCCACCCACCCACCCACCCACCCACTCACTCACTCACTCACTCACTCACTCACTCACTCACTCTCACTCACTCACCCACCCACCCACCCACTCACTCACTCACTCACTCACTCACTCACTCACTCACTCACTCACTCACTCACTCACTCACTCACTCTCACTCACTCACCCACCCACCCACCCACTCACTCACTCACTCACCCACCCACCCACCCACTCACTCACTCACTCACTTTCCAAGTCACCAGACATATAAATAAATAGAATTGCATCTCCCTGCAAAGATTGAAAGAAATCGAGTTACCCTCCTCACCCCTGCTGCATGTACCATTCCGCAGCAAATTGTTCGTCGACGTATCACCTTCCAGCAGCTAACCGCTAACAGCAATTTCTTACACGGCTTGTCTGCCCATCGTATTCTGCTGTAACAACAGTCCTGCACAAATCAGTGGTTATAATCAATGAATGACATCAGACCCTGTGTGTAATTCTCATGCTTTTCCAGGTGTGCCAGTCACACTTCTCGTGGCGCTTTCAAGGCAGCTGCCAAGGAGTGCCGACGACGGAATCTGCAGGTGTATTGACTGACACTGCCTGAAAGTATGGGATAAATTAATTATATCCTGTCCCAGAGATAAAAACAGTTCGATGTTGTATAATGCTCACTGACACTCAAATGTATCCTTTTGGGCATTGTTCTTTGGGATTTCAGGTTAGATTAGATTCCCACGAAGCCATGCTTGTCATTTGAGCAACTGAGTGGACTAGGTTTTCAAGACTGGGTGGTCAGACTCGGTGATTTGATATTGAGGACTATTTCTGAGGATTGTTTGGTCACAATGCCTTACCAAGCTGATAGCTGTCATCTTGCCATGACGTGTTTCTGAAGAATAATTTAAGGATTGAATATGGTCAGACTACTGTGAGACATAATGTTTCCCAGCTTGCTGATATTGTATTGATTACCCACATGGGGATTCCAGGTGTGAATTGGTCACCTGCAACCTTGCTGGTTGTAAGAAATGACGGAAAGGATGGGGTGCAGAATTGACATACATCTTAAAACGTGAGGCAGACAGAAAATGGGTTTTTATCAATCTCATTCAAATCAGATCTAAGTTCTCGCTGCCGCTAAACAAAGACCTGAGGACATCCCGTTACGGGTCACGTCAGAACAAACTTTCCCGAACTTTGACTAACCACTGAAATGAATAACAAGAAGTCGACATCAGCCAATTAGAAAGCAGCTTTCTCGTGCTTTACGGCACAGGTTTCAACCTGGCGACTTCCATTTCCGACTACGCTTGAAAAACATGTTGACACAGTTCTCGATAAACATTTTGGAAACTGAACAAACGAGCTCTCCAGAATGTCTAATATATGGTTGAGATTGTATGGCAGTGCTTCCCATGTACTGTGCAACGCCTCCTCTGTTCAAATGTTTATCACAAGGAATCGAGTGATAGACGATAATTTTGACGGAATCAGTCGTATGGGCCATAAGTGTCGTTCGGGAATACCTTGTGTTAATGTTTTTGAGGTTGCATGATTAGAAAACACATTCCGACTGTCACTTTCATGATCTGGTAAGCGACGCTTTGATTGGTTGGATGAAAGGTCGTTTTGACGTGACCCGTAATGGGATGTCTTCAGATTTTTGTTTAGCTATAGCGAGAACTAAGATCTGATTTTATGAGATTGGGTTTTTATCCACTTGAATTAAATTTACTAGGATTGGCAGTCAGGCTGAGCCAAGTCCCCCCTTAAAGTAGCATCTGAGCCAAGTCCCCCTTAAAGAAGCATCTGAGCCAAGTCCCCCTTAAAGTAGCATCTGAGCCAAGTCCCCCTTAAAGTAGCATCTGAGCCAAGTCCCCCTTAAAGTAGCATCTGAGCCAAGTCCCCCTTAAAGTAGCATCTGAGCCAAGTCCCCCCTTAAAGTAGCATCTGAGCCAAGTCCCCCCTTAAAGTAGCATCAGCAGTGAGTCTCAAGTTATGAATTGTATGTATTATATTATATGGGCTATATTTATTCATTTATTATATATTATATAAGTATTATTTTGGTAACACGTTATGAATGTGTCCATTACCATGGTTGTATTTTGTAGTATAAACTTGAATATATAAGCCAATGATTTGGAGGACGTTTTTGTTGATTATTTATTGATCCTTGGTGGTTACGGTTATGAAAGTGGCATTCATTATGTATGTACATAACATCTAACTGATATCATTGTATCCTCACATAATGTCCTTCATTATACAGGTAATGGCACCCAACAGTTCATCAGCATCCCGGTATCCTTGGCAACGGGAGGGAATCAACAGATTCAACTCTTGACGACGTCCAATGGGCAGATTATCGCCACAAATCTTGCCAGTTTACAGGCGCTGGCACAACCTCTCAACCTCGGTCTGGCTGGGGTCACAGGTAAACTTAAGACTCGAAAACATTAAAACACAATGCAACATGAAAAGGAAACTGAAATGTTTTGGTGGCTGTTACCATGACAACATGATGGTCAAAGAGCTGTTGATGTGAAGTTTGGCTGGTCAGAGTTTGTAACCTGGCGGAGGGGAGACAACTCTGTACACCACAGTAATGTGGTAGGGTAGCCCAGTGGGTTTAAAGCATTGCTTGTCAGGCCGTATACCTGGATTCGATTCACAACATGGAGACAGTGTGCGTCTTTCCTAGTGTATAAGACCCGTGAAAATGTGGGGTAGAATTAGGTGTTCAGCAACACATGCTTGCTGTAAAAGGTGACTATGCAGGATCGGGTGGTTGGTTGACTGACTTGGTTGATGCATGTCATTGTATCCCAATTTCTTGGATCGATTCTCATGATGTCAATCACTGGATTGTCTGGTCCAGACTCGATTATTTGCAGACCGACGTCATATACCGGTAGCTGGAATATTGCTGAGAGCGGCGTTAAACAACAAACAAACAATCCTCGTGTATACTATGGCTAGAAACTATGCTATAAGCTGTATAAACCCTACTCACCCACTGGTAACATTCTAGAGGATGTATTTTGGTATACCATAGTCCACAACCGACTGACCGTTGTGATGCCAAATACTCTACCCGCAGCTAAATTATTTTCTTTGTTTGTCTTGAATTTCTATTTCATCTGAACTATCATGAAATTGGGATATTAAAAATGTAAGGGGGAAGTTGGGTGCTTTTCCGTTAGTGTGATGAAACAAACAAACATGAATTCATCGGAAAATAGTAAATCAGTCGTTAAACTTTTCCCAATTCATTATAATGGCATTCCCAAAGACATACACGAAGGTATAAATGTCCCAACCTTGGGAGGTAGAGGGGAAATATCAAGATTCTTATCATGGCCGCCTGCCCACTGGTTGCAGCGATGGTAACAATGGAGGGTAACAAAGATGTCATACACAGGGTAGGAGCTTGTCTAGTAACATCCCAGGGGAGCCATGAAAACTAGGTACACCATAGTCTGGTGACTTCCCAGGGGAGGTAACTAGGTACACCATCGTCCAGTAACTCCCCAGGGGAGGTAACTGGGTGTAACACAGTACATTACCCAAGCTCCTCACAGCGATAGTACGTTCCCGGAGCTCTCTATACTATTGCTGCCACCAGTCAAAACTCCCCACTGTGAATAGGTGGCCACAACCATGCTTGGAGTTGAACTCGCAACCGAATGACCGTTTTGTTTACAAACAAGTGACGACTGTCGTGACGCCGAATACACTTATAGCTGCTAAATTACTTTCTTCGTTTGTCAATTTGAATTTGTGTTTCATTACAACTATCATGTAATTGATACAGTAAGAATGTAAGGGAGAAGTTGGTTGATTTTCCGTTAGTCTGCAATCTCGAACCAAGCTGATTATCAAAACAACAAAGTAAATTCATCTGGAAAACATGGTCAGTCGCAAACCTTTTCAAACTGAAATATGATGGCATTCCCAAAGACATAAACAAAAGTATAAACGTTACTACATTTGGAGTTAGAGGGCAAATTTCAAGATTCTTGTAATGGCCGCGCCCACACTGGTGGCAGCGATGTTACCGAGAGTGTAACGAAGGTGTCACACGCTGGGAAGGAGCTTGTACATTACCATCCCAAGGGAGGTAACTTTGTACGCACTAGTCATCCAGTACATTCAGTCAGAAATAAACTGAGAATATTATCAGTGGAAATGTTTTTGTGAATGAACAAAAGAAGTGCATTATGTAATAATGTCAGTAAGGAAGCAGGAAATAATGTATTGCTTTCCCGGAACCAAAAAGTATTTCATTATGAGCTTTATGTTGTTCCAACTGGTGCAACTGAAAGCAATTTATTCTGAAATGCGTTGAAGCATGACTTGATAAGGCTACATCATATGTTGTTCTAGTATGGTGGAAAAGGTAATTGTGTTTGAACAATAAAATTCTGCATTGATATTCTTCATGGGAAGATGTCTGAAAACATGCATTCATCTTGCAGGATAAATGTGTGATTTGTTGCATTAAATATGAACATCAAGTCTCTTCTCTATTAGATAAACCATGTATTTTGGCCCCTGTGAATATCTTGGTTAGAATCTATACTTGTCGTAGAAGACAACTAACTGGGTTTGGGTGATCGAGTTGGATCATGTCCCATTTTCTTAGATCGTTGTTCATGATGTCAGTGTCTAGATTGTCTTGTCCATATCATGAATATGATCATCTTTTACTCGTGGTGATAACAAAAATATGTCATGTGTCACAAGCGATAACAGGAATATGTCATGAGTCACGAGTGATAACAGGCATATGTCGTGTGTCACTCATGATAACAGGAATATGTCGTGTGTCACTCATGATAACAGGAATATGTCATGTGTCACTCGTGGTGATAACATCAATATGTCATGTGTCACAAGAGGTGATAACATCAATATGTCATGTGTCACTGGTAATGATAACATAAATGTCATGTGTCACAAGTGATAACAGGAATATGTCATGTGTCACAAGTGGTGATAACATCAATATGTCATGTGTCACAAGTGATAACATCAACATGTCATGTGTCACTAGTGGTGATAACATCAATATGTCATGTGTCACGAGTGGTGATAACTCAATATTACCCTTGTGGTGATGTCAACTCCATGAGGACGTGGGTGAGATGAGATCACCAGCTTGTTGTAAGAGGCGACTCAGTGGATTGGATGGTAAGACTCAGTGACTTGCCTGCTTGCCTGTCATCACACCCAGGAGTGTGATTATTGCTCATGATATCATCCATGGTTTGTCTGGTCCAAACATAATTATTTACATTGCTGCCCCCATCATTAGCCAGCAACAAGAATATAAAACAAAGGGATGATAATATGAGTTTGATCATCTGCCACTAGCAATGGTTAACTGATTTATTAACATCTTTCATTCTAGTAATAGCAGGGTGTTGGGGTAGCCTAGTGGTAAAAGCGTTGGCTTGTCACGCCGAACACCTGGGTTCGATTCCCCACTTGGGCACAATATGTGGAGCCAATTTTCCGGTGTCCCCCGCTGTGATATTGCTGTGTAAAACCATACTCAAGTTTATAATAGCGTGAGTGTATTTATATAAGTCACTGTTCACTTACGACATGATGTTTGTCACCTTGAAGCAGTCGGTCAATCATGATGTTGATGTTCCAGCAGGCAGTGTCTCCAGCCCTGCAAGTCACCACGGTAGCAGTAGTAGTAGTAGTCACGCAGTGTCGAGTCAGTTGGCGGCAGCGTTGCCACAACTCTTGTCCACAGGAGCACAGGGGCAGCTGCTAGCATTGGGCACACAGGTAGGTACAGCATTGCTGAGGAGATACTGGTGATAGTGGGGTGTTATGATCGTTACAGCATAACTGAGGAGATACTGATGGTAGTGGGGTGTTACCATTGTTACAGCATAGCTGAGGAGATACTGGTGGTAGTGGGGTGTTACCATCGTTACAGCATTGGTGAGGAGATACTGGAGGTAGTGGGGTGTAATGATCGTTACAATATTGCTGAGGAGATACTGGTGGTAGTGGGGTGTTATGATTGTTACAGCATAGCTGAGGAGATACTGGTGGTAGTGGGTGTTATGATTGTTACAGCATTGCTGAGGAGATACTGGAGGTAGTGGGGAGTTATGATCGTTACAGCATAGCTGAGGAGATACTGGAGGTAATGGGGTGTTATGATCGTTACAGCATAGCTGAGGAGATACTGGTGGTAGTGTGGTGTTATGATCATTACAGCATAGCTGAGGAGATACTGGTGGTAGTGGGGTGTTATGATTGTAACAGCATAGCTGAGGAGATACTGGTGGTAGTGGGGTGTTACCATCATTACAGCATAGCTGAGGAGATACTGGAGGTAGTGGGGTGTTATGATTGTTACAGCATAGCTGAGGAGATACTGGTGATAGTGGGGTGTTATGATCGTTACACCATAGCTGAGGAGATACTGGTGGTAGTGGGGTGTTACCATCATTACAGCATAGCTGAGGAGATACTGGAGGTAGTGTGGTGTTATGATTGTTACAGCATAGCTGAGGAGATACTGGTGATAGTGGGGTGTTATGATTGTTACAGCATAGCTGAGGAGATACTGGAGGTAGTGTGGTGTTATGATTGTTACAGCATAGCTGAGGAGATACTGGTGATAGTGGGGTGTTATGATTGTTACAGCATAGCTGAGGAGATACTGGTGGTAGTGGGGTGTTATGATTGTTACAGCATTGTTGAGGAGATACTGGTGGTAGTGGGGTGTTATGATTGTTACAGCATTGCTGAGGAGATACTGATGGTAGTGGGTGTTTTGATTGTTACAGCATAGTTGAGGAGATATTGGTGGTAGTGGGGTGTTATGATTGTTACAGCATAGCTGAGGAGATACTGGTGGTAGTGGGGTGTTATGATAGTTACAGCATAGCTGATGAGATATTGGTGGTAGTGGGGTGTTATGGTAGTTATTATAGCAGTTGTGATAGAATACTGGGGATAGTGTCTTATCAATTCTGGAGATTTGTATGAAAAACTTCCTAACAGTTCATCCAAATAGATTTACGACCTGTTTGTACATTGTATAAGGTTGTCTTTCTTTGTACAGAGTTGTGTCTCTTTAAAAAGAAAGAGTTTTGCTCATTTTCTAGCTTTCTTCATTCTTTATTTTCAGAATGCAATCCGAGGATTATCATTAGATGGAAAATTCAAGTTTGATAATCAGGTGATGAAATACTTTTTGACATTTCAAATATGTATGATATCAAGTGTGGAGAAAAAACAACTAAATCAAAGTTGTTCTGCTAAATATTTATCCAACTTAATGTATAATTTATGCGGTATCCATTTTGCCAAGCCAAATACCCCATTTTTTCAAATTTGAAATTGGGGGGAAAAAAGAGGCTTGTCAAAGAAGAAGGTTTCTAGTGTCAAATCCCATTTAACATTTTCAGCCAAGCATTTTTCAGCATAAACTCCAGTCATTTTGCAATATTTTTTCATCTTATGCTCGTGAGAATTGTGCTATATTTATTCATGTAGTCTAGATGTAATTGTAGACACGGGTACCCCCAGTCGTCTTAGTTGCCACAATTTCGCACTGTAGAGTTGCATTCATTAGTCATACCAGAAACCTGTGACAATGGGTTTGATTCCCGGGAGCGATCTGATCATGTTTCTAGGTTTGTCAGCACTGTAAGCATAGGCATGGTTTTCATCCAATCACTTCGGGCATTCCTGCCAACATCAAGGTGACATGCTGAGATATAACTGAAATACTGTGTTGAACCCACCTCTCTCACTCTTTCATGTAGAGGGGGCACGGGTGGCCCAGTCATCTAAGGCACCGCGATTCACTGTGCAGAGTTGCGTCCCTTGGGCACGCCAGAAACCTATGATTGTGGGTTCGAATCCCGGTTCGCCCCGATTATGTTTCTAGGTTTGTCAGCAACATACCCGTGCTCGTGGGTTTCACCGAAGTGGTAAACGTCTGAGACCTGCATCACTTTGGGCTTTCCTCCCACATTAAGCTGACACGCTGTGATATAACTGGAATACTGTTAAAAGCGGCGTTAAACCCAACTCACTCTCTCACTCACTCATGTCGATATGCATTCATTAACTAATCCACCATTTCTCCTCAATATAGGTGCTGACACCAGTCTCTGTCGCTCAAGTAAATAATTCTTCAGCTTCCTCCAACCAATCAACTGCTGGCGCTGCAGGTCATTCAGCCAATCACACCATCTCTACTTCCCCATCATTACAACAGACACTAACACAAGCAGTGGGTGGGTCAACGTCACACACCGTCGTGGCACAGCACAGCCCCACGCGACCCTCAGCACTTTCCGCCAACCCGGCAGCTACCTCGAATGGACTTCCCCCCTCCGTTAGTCAATTGCTACCAAGTAAGTTGCCCAAGAAAAATTTTGATTTGAAGGATGGGATTTTGTATGGGCCCTTTTTGGCCCATTGGAAATGGTAAATTTTGAACGTTATGGAAATGTTTATCAAAGTGTTGATAAATGTATCTAAACAATCATGTCACTTGAATGTTGAGAAACCTTTTTTATTCTGCACTTGTTTAGGACTTAAGGTGATCTTGTTCAGAAGTGTTCAAAAAGAAGTCATTGGTTTAAGCTTTAGAGCAATAATCCATGACCATCACCCCGAAAATCATCCGAAAATCAGTTTGGGGGAAAGTATTATGAAAATATTGTGAAATGAACATTTCTAATCAACTTTGAAAGGTTGCAACTTTTACTACATTGGCAGTTCCAGTGGGCCAAACTGTTGCTATGATACCTCGTCCCTGGCTTTTCTTCCCGTTTGTGGCAGTTCCGAGGATGCCTATCTAAGTGTTGCACCTACTTCTGTTACAGCACATATTGAGTTTCTTTTCGTTTATGTATTCTCTCTCATGTTTGTTTCGTCAGTTACGGACAATATGAAGGGTTATGTTAGCAATAGAATTCAGAATATTCTTTGGGAAGAGAGACAGCTTGAAATTGTACATGACGAAGAAACATTAATGTCGGTAATACTTGTGTGTAATGAACAGCAAGAATCTAGAAGAAAGTTCTAATTATCTTATCCAAGTGAATGATGTAAGCCCAGGGCTTTTGGCATGAAACTTACCACGTTCATTCACATGGCAGAGTGGATCTGTAATTTCAAGTATGTTATTCGAAATATTTTGTTAATATTGTCATTTTAAGAAAGAAAATGAAGAAAAATATTTGTAATGTCAACCGTGAATGGAAAGGTCACTGATGTCTGTTTATTGTTTCGATGATGTTATGTTTCAGTTTGTAACTTCATCAATTGATGAGGTCATATTGTATTGTCATGGCATATCATTTCAACTGACCAATCAGCATTGAGAATGCTAAAATGAAAGTTATTAGACTTGATCTTTCTTCTGTTATTGGCAATATTGGTCTTTTAGTATAGTTTTTGTACTCAGTTTTGACATCTTCATTGGCTGTCTTAATTTCAAGAAATTAAAATTAAATATAATTATTTTGAAAATGTTTTCTTAAAAAAAGAATGTGAAAAATACCACTTGTAATTTAGATGGAATAGAAACCTTATAGGCTGTACCTGAATTGACATTTTGTGGCTGCGTACTGCTTGTAGTTTTATATTGATTTCTCCATGTAGCAGTATGTGTATATGACGTAGTTACTTACTGCAACAATGTAAAGTTAAAGCTCTGACTTGCTATATCTTACTGTCGGCTGCTCAATGTGCATCACTGTAGTTTTGCCTCAGTTAACATTGAGTTTGGCTATTTTTTCTGCACCTGTTTTGAAGAGAAGAGCACGGTGTCTCTGCCCTTGACCCTCCCAGCCCCTAAGACCGTACTGACCTCTAACGGACTTCCCACCAGTATTAGTGAACTCATGCCAGGTAAGTCTTAGCTAGGATCCATCATGAATGGCAGACTGTTTGACTGATTGGTTTACGGATTCCGCCGACCCTGAAATAATTTCAAGTTGGGGAAAATGTGAAATAAAAAATCATAACACTGAAAGACAAACCTAACAAACTCTGCTGGATTGGCAGCATAGTCAGATGAACAGAATAGTTTGAAAAGTGTTTTTTTTATTTGTTTTGAACCAGGATTTTTCCACATAAAACAAGCGTAAACCAAGAAGTGTGGCCTTGCTATGTATGACATGTGTCAGTAGCTGGGTGCTCAGGGTGTCAGGAAACTGAACGGTGTGGGCGTGGGCATAACGTTGAACTCCTTAAAATCTTGTACACCCTGCTGATGAATCATGTAACAAAATTGTCGTAACATATGCTGACTGGTTACACAACCCTATTTTTGTAATAATTTGTGTGTGAATGAATGAGTGGATGAGGGTGTATATGTGTGAGTGTGAGTGTGAGTGTGAGTGTGAGTGTGAGTTGCCATTTTGAGCTGAATTTCAGGACAATGCCCTGAACATGGGTATGGTGCAAGCCAAGAATCATTATAGGGTGAATCAGGGATGCATAGGGGAGACAACTCTGCATGGCCCATAATATGATATGTGGTGCTTAAGATGACTGAGCCACCAGCCTCATAAAGATTCTCAACGGGCATTATGAGCTGTAATGGCCTCCTTATGCCTCATTGTGGAGCGATATTCACATCAAGTCGTAACAGAACTGGTTGGCCTGCTGTTTCACAAGACAAACATGCATATAAATAGGATTTGATATTGTGGTTTGATGAAAATGCCAGTCCTAATGGTAAACTGTGGCGTTTATGTTCTTTGTGGCAGAGACAACCCAGTTCCCAGTTCCTTGCTGAACCATTGCTGAATGCTGGCGTGATTCAGTACCCTCTTACAAACACTAAACATGGGCAACATAATTCTGTGATCCAGACAGTGATTGAGCCTTGACTCTCTATCCAGTACTGAAATGTATACCACATTGCCTCTAATAGATGACCCCCAGATGTATAATAATATTGGCCATATTGTGAGGCATGTATTTGAGACCAGCGTCTACTGGAGACATGGACTCTATTTCTTTGCTGGACGTTTCTAGATCGGAATCATTCATTTACTGTTTTATTTAACCTGGGATATACTGGAGACCTGGTGTGTATGAGAGACCTGGTGTGTATAAGAGATGAGACCTGGTGTGTATGAGAGACCTAGTGTATAAGAGATGAGACCTGGTGTGTATAAGAGATGAGACCTGGTGTGTATGAAAGATGAGACCTGGTGTGTATGAGAGACCTGGTGTGTATAAGAGACCTGGTGTGTATGAGAGATGAGATGAGACCTGGTGTGTATGAGAAAATGGTATGTATAAGAGACCTGGTGTGTATAAGAGACCTGGTGTGTATAAGAGAGCTGGTGTGTATGAGAGATGAGAACTGGTGTGTATAAGTGATGACACCTGGTGTGTATAAAAGATGAGACCTGGTGTGTATGTATATTAGACCTGGTGTGTATGAGAGATGAGACCTGGTGTATATGAGAAAATGGTATGTATATGAGACCTGGTGTGTATGAGAAAATGGTACCGGTATGTATAAAAGACCTGGTGTGTATGAGAGATGAGACCTGGTGTGTGTGAGCAAATGGTATGTATATGAGACCTGGTGTGTATGAGAGACCTGGTGTGTATGAGAGATGAGACCTGGTGTGTGTGAGCAAATGGTATGTATATGAGACCTGGTGTGTATGAGAGACCTGGTGTGTATGAGAAAATGGTATGTATAAGAGACCTGGTGTGTATGTATAAGAGACCTTGTGTGTATGTATAAGCCTGGTGTGTATGAGAGATGAGACCTGGTGTGTATGTATAAGCCTGGTGTGTATGAGAGACCAGGTTAGTATTCTTCCAATAGATTTTGTGCTTGTGTCTGTTGGAGGAAATACAGTATTTAAGTTGTGTTGAAGAGTTTGTGCTTGTTAAAGCTGCCATTGTGCAGATGACCCCCTACAGCTGTGAAACATTTTGTACTCTTTCAGTAAGACTATCTGCCAATCAGTGACTTTTTCAATTTGGTCGTGAATATTGTCGCTGTCAATATAGCAAACAGTTTCCTTTCCAGACACAGTGGGCAACTCAACTGAGAGTACGACGGTAGATGGGATCAACTTGGACGAGATAAAAGAGTTCGCTCGGCAGTTCAAGATTCGTCGATTGTCCCTGGGACTGACCCAGACGCAGGTGGGACAAGCCCTCAGCGCCACCGAGGGGCCAGCTTACAGTCAGTCAGCGATTTGTCGGTAAGACGCCGCCACCCTGCAGATGGGATATTGGCTGGGTTGAGTTTGTCAGGGCTTTGTGGTGAAAGGGAGGTAATCATGTTTTCATGGAATCAATTTAAACTTAGCTGAAACGGAGGTAGGTGTTGTTTCCGGAGCAGAACTAAAAAACTTTTCAACATTTGTCATCCAAACTTGGTACCTATATTTTTCAAGGGCTGAAGTTATACCTTTAGCTGTTTAGGAATTTAAAAAAACATTTTTTTCCTGTTTCCACGGCAACAACTTTGACTCTGTTCATAGTGGTGTGTTTGTCCGGCCATATCTCTAAAACTAATTCATACTCTTTCTTGAAACTGTACACACACAAAGACCAGGTTGTCAACTGGTGCCTTTTGCTATTTAGGAATTTTAAGAAAAATAATAAATCTTGTTTCCATGGCAACATGTTTAACTTTGACTCTGTTCATAGTGGTGTGTTTGTCTACTCCAGGCCATATTTCTAAAACTAATAGGTATTCGTTCATGACACTTTGCACACCCAAAGACCAGGTTGTCAATTGGTGCCTTTTGCTACTTAGGGGTGTTTGGAATGTATATATTATTCTCTGTTTTCATGGCAACAAGTTTGATTTTGACTCTGTTCGTAGTGGTGTGTACCTGACACAGAAATACAAAGTTCTGCATCCCAATTCCATGCTATTGTTGTCAGGTGCAAAACTACCATTGTAGCAGAAAAGCAACTGCTTACACCTAAAAAAAGAACATTTTTTTACACAATTATTTTTTAAAATAAGAAAACCTCAATTAACATCAGTAGTAAATTATTAATTTAAACTCTACACGGTTGAACATGATACTTACGGTCTACCCGGTAACTTGAAAATCGGAATCTTACGCAGATTAGGATTTTAGTGGTAGATGGTTTATCAAGTTGTGAGAGTAATGTCCCTTTGTTGACACGATGCACGTGGTTAATATAGACTGTCAAGGAAGATTGAAAGGTTATTTTAGATCAACATGGCCTCCCCATGGATTTATGACAACTAATAGCCTATGAGTAGTCTACCAGTACCTTTTATCTGTTTAATATGATATTCAGAACTGCAATATCCTAAAATGAGCAAAAATTGAAATCAGGGGTGCTTTGTAGAGCAATCAATTCCTTTTTCAAGGTTAAAAAAATACCAAAAAACATTTGTTGTATTTTAAGTTCATCTCAAAAACTTTAGGAAATACTAGTAAGTATAGTTATATGAAAATTTCAAATAACTATACTTACTAGTATTTCACCCAGGCTAGCAGAGAGCCCTTTAATGTAAGTATCACAATATATAGTACTTTCTGCATAAGCAAACCGCGCTCTCACAATTGTTTTCCTGTAATGACAGGTCGGCTCGCGTAAATGATATTCCAAAATATGAAACTATAAATAACCAACACATACTACGAATTAACGAGTAAAAACACATAAAAGTAATATTATCAATTTGTTTTAATGTTCAAATTTCATTTGTCATCATGGATGTTTCATGAATGAAAGTCGGAAATGTGTGAAACACCTTTATGTATGTTACTAATAAGAAAATGTGTTGGTGAAACACCTTTATGTATGTGACTGATAAGAAAATGTGTTGGTGAAACACCTTTATGTATGTCACTAATAAGAAAATGTGTTGGTGAAACACCTTTATGTATGTCACTAATAAGAAAATGTGTTGGTGAAACACCTTTATGTATGTTACTGATAAGAAAATGTGTTGGTGAAACACCTTTATGTATGTTACTGATAAGAAAATGTGTTGTGAAACACCTTTATGTATGTTACTGATAAGAAAATGTGTTGGTGAAACACCTTTATGTATGTTACTGATAAGAAAATGTGTTGGTGACACACCTTTATGTATGCTACTGATAAGAAAATGTGTTGGTGAAACACCTTTATGTATGTTACTGATAAGAAAATGTGTTGGTGAAACACCTTTATGTATGCTACTGATAAGAAAATGTGTTGGTGAAACACCTTTATGTATGTTACTGATAAGAAAATGTGTTGGTGAAACACCTTTATGTATGTTACTGATAAGAAAATGTGTTGGTGAAACACCTTTATGTATGTTACCGATAAGAAAATGTGTTGGTGAAACACCCTTATGTATGTTACTGATAAGAAAATGTGTTGGTGAAACACCTTTATGTGTGTTACTAATAAGAAAATGTGTTGGTGAAACACCTTTATGTATGTTACTGATAAGAAAATGTGTTGGTGAAACACCTTTATGTATGTTACTGATAAGAAAATGTGTTGTGAAACACCTTTATGTATGTTACTAATAAGAAAATGTGTTGGTGAAACACCTTTATGTATGTTACTAATAAGAAAATGTGTTGGTGAAACACCTTTATGTATGTTACTGATAAGAAAATGTGTTGGTGAAACACCTTTATGTATGTTACTAATAAGAAAATGTGTTGGTGAAACACCTTTATGTATGTTACTGATAAGAAAATGTGTTGTGAAACACCTTTATGTATGTTACTGATAAGAAAATGTGTTGTGAAACACCTTTATGTATGTTACTGATAAGAAAATGTGTTGGTGAAACACCTTTATGTATGTTACTGATAAGAAAATGTGTTGTGAAACACCTTTATGTATGTTACTGATAAGAAAATATGATAAATAAATTACCAATATTTGTTACAAATATACTTCAACATAAATGGTCCCAAAATGCAGGTAATAGCGTTTAAGAGCGTCTACCTTTTAAGAATCCCTGCGAGGGGAGCATGCCACCAATCCCCCTGAGAGGCTTTAGGGCTCTCGTAAAATTGATTTTGTTTACACTTATAATTAGCCTAGTTGCGCTCCTGCTTTTATTAAGACAGACAGACTAGATAGAAATTCTCTCATTAAGTTGGACTTAATGTAACAGTCAAATGATTTGTTCTTTCGAATTTGTGGGGGCAAGGGGGATTTGTCATCCTCTGGTGACTCTTGTTATAGTCTGTAAGTAATTCAATATGATGTTTTATAAAGGTAGTTTGAAACAGTTTTACCTGTGTCATTTGTTAGACCCTTGCTCCCCGGGGATACGGAAGTAATTTGTCATCAGGAAATTCACACAAATATATTATGCATTTTAATCGTGAAATAACTTCACCATGTTTGTCACAACACTTGACAAGAATGGAGTCAGCTCGCTTGTGAAAATGACAAGCAAGAATGGTGTTAGCTCGCTTGTGAAAATGACAAGCAAGAATGGTGTTAGCTCGCTTGTGAAAATGACAAGCAAGAATGGTGTCAGCTCGCTTGTGAAAATGACAAGCAAGAATGGTGTCAGCTTGCTTGTGAAAATGACAAGCAAGAATGGTGTTAGCTCACTTGTGAAAATGACAAGCAAGAATGGTGTTAGCTCGCTTGTGAAAATGACAAGCAAGAATGGAGTTAGCTCGCTTGTGAAAATGACAAGCAAGAATGGTGTTAGCTCGCTTGTGAAAATGACAAGCAAGAATGGTGTTAGCTCGCTTGTGAAAATGACAAGCAAGAATGGTGTCAGCTGGCTTGTGAAAATGACAAGCAAGAATGGTGTCAGCTTGCTTGTGAAAATGACAAGCAAGAATGGTGTCAGCTCACTTGTGAAAATGACAAGCAAGAATGGTGTTAGCTCGCTTGTGAAAATGACAAGCAAGAATGGAGTCAGCTCGCTTGTGAAAATGACAAGCAAGAATGGAGTCAGCTCGCTTGTGAAAATGACAAGCAAGAATGGTGTCAGCTCGCTTGTGAAAATGACAAGCAAGAATGGTGTCAGCTCGCTTGTGAAAATGACAAGCAAGAATGGTGCATTAATACAACTTCAACTTTTAATAAATGATAACTCCCTTTGGGGAATGTACAATACCTGACAATATTGTTTCTATATCTCTCTCTCTTGTTTCAGATTTGAGAAGCTCGACATCACACCGAAGAGCGCCCAGAAAATCAAACCTGTGTTAGAAAGATGGATGCTTGAGGCAGAAGAGCGGTATAAGAACGGAGTTCAGAATCTCACCGAGTTCATCGGCAGCGAACCTTCAAAAAAGCGCAAGCGACGTACATCATTTACGCCACAGGCTTTGGAAATATTAAACCAGTATTTTGAGAGAAACACCCATCCCTCAGGTTAGTAGTAAATCTAGGTTGTGTGTGGTTAGGGGGGATTATTATAGCGGGGAGTGGTCCCCCCCCCCAATATCCCCCAAATACATGTAACATTTTTTATGTCCCGCTTCAACCTCTTCCCTCTTCCCTATTACTAATGAACAGTCCCAAATAATGTCCACATTTTATGATTGTTCTATTTGAAAACTGTAACATCCTCTCCCCCCCCCCCCCCCCCCCCCCTTCCCACACAAACCCATAATTTTTTTTATAAAAAATACTGTAACAATTTTTTCATTTTTATGATTATTTATTGTATTAGGTCTAATTTCAGGTGCTGAAATGACAGAGTTAGCAGAAAAATTAAACTACGACCGAGAAGTCATCAGGGTGTGGTTCTGTAACAAAAGGCAAGCGTTAAAAAATACCATAAAGAAGTTGAAACAAGAGGCACCGTGACTCATCCATGCATAAATATGCGGCATAGTTTGATGTTTGGCCAGATTTGTTAATTATTTATTATTTCAAAATAGGTTGTTTTTTCTCAGGGCTATGATCCATAGTATGGGGTGAAGAAGCAGGATTCAGATCAAACTTCACACTTTTCAGTAGAAGGTTGAAACGGGTCTATTACTGTCTTTACTAGCTGCTATAAGACTATATCTTCCATAGAAAAATTATTAACATTTTTATTCCTGAAAACAATTATTCATTTGTCCAGTTATGTATGTTGAGGTGATTAATAGATTTCTTATTTGTAAAAATGAGTGAACTGATAGTTTAAAGACAAAAAGTGGACCACTTCAATGAAATCCAACATTTAAGCCATTGAACATACATAGCTATGGAAATTCTAAAGAAATATACTACTCAGTGTTTGTAGGGGTATATTCTGAAGGTCCAGGTCGGAGCTGAATGATTGGTTGCTAGGAGATGGGGTCATACAAATAGTATCCCACATTGCCATGCAACTGATGCATGTTCAGGTTTATTCAAAGTAAATAAAAGTAAGTACCAAATTTTCATGAGTAAATGGTAAATCTGTAAACATGTCTGGTGATTTTATATCTCAAATTTCAAATTTGTACTGACCAAGTTTCTTATCACCCGTACGTTAACTGAAATTCGCTGAAGGGGTACGGTGAAATGTTTTTTCTGCGCATAATATTCGAAAAAAATGTTTTTCCAAAATACTGAATCCGCTAGCGGGGGGTGCACACTATACTCAAGAAAATATGGTACACCTGTTGCTGTTATAGTTCTGGAACAATATGAAATAGCCCAGTATCCTTCCCAAATTTTGAGTAGTATGGTTTGTGAAGATATAGTCTTACAGTATCGAATGTTAACAATGTGTTTCAGGTGATTGTGGTTTAGTACTGATAATTCTTGATGCAAACACAGTCTCAATATCAGAGTGTTCAAAGTGTTACTCTTCAAACTATCAATGACCGTGGAAAAAGTGAAAGCAAAGCACATGAACAATTTTTGCCACCAGACACAAAACTATTTTTGGAATTATCAGTACTGAATGATATAAGCAATAGCTATGTGACTGAAATGGTAGTCATGTGATGAAAGCTTTGTCACATGACAAGCTAATCACATAGTCACATGATTAAAACAAAAGTCACATGACAGAAATCCCACTAAGATCTGATGCTTGTTCATGCTATGTAAGTTGAAGCTATTATGTGATATTGTGTTTATAGGTATGTAGTGCTCTCTAGGTATGACTTGTCTCCCTTGAATTCAGAACAACATGGTGGTCACTTCCAATTTTCACAGTCATACACTGAAAGTGTATATCCATTGCAAGAATCATGTGAAGTCCGTAAGTGAAGCTTTTGTATAAGTTGATGATAAAAGTCAATTTATTAGAAAAAATAATATCATACAATGTTAGAGGTTCATCACTAAATATGACATGTCTTGTGAAAAGATTTTGCTACAAAAGTGTAAAATGTACAAATTCTGGTCCATTTTAGAAGGAAAGGATATTTACAAAATTTGTGCAGTACTGCCGAGCTGTTCTGAATTACAAGATTTAGGTTGTTATTTATTAATGGTAATTTTACCATGTCTGATATTTTTTAGTGGTTGACAGTTGGTCAACTGTACGCTGAAGGCTTTTTAACCCAGCTTGTAGAATCTCTGTGACAACTGAACGTGATGCTAGCGGGATCACGTCTACCTGATGAAGTTGTGATAATGTGTATTGAGGAGGTGAACAATTATTTGTTAATTTTATTTCTGAAACCTAGTGTAAGCTTCAGTAGTCCTGCATCAAGTGTAATACTTTAGGTTGCCAGATGACAACGCCTTCCTTCAGTCACTTTAAAGTCATTCAGAATCTCTCTTAAAAATGTTGAACCTCAGATGAAAACTGAATGTCCTTTGTTATATTGTGGAACAGTGCAATTTATTGCTGTGTTTGAAGATTATTAAAGAAAAATTTAAGTATTGAAAAATCAATTTACTACTCTGAATTGTAAATATTTGACAAGAAAGTCTCTGGAATAATTAACAGTATGACCATATTCGGTCTGGTAGGTAATGCTCAGTTGTTTTCAATGAGTCTCCTGAATAATGACAACTCTAAAAATAATAATAATAATAATAATAATAATGATGATAATAAGTCAGACTGTGACCAGTACTTTTCAAACGGATTTGTAACCATTTGACACTATCTACCATTGTAAATTGAACTACGTGTACCATAATAGACGTAATAAGCGCCCACGGCGATATTTGCTAATATAATGGCTAGTGAACAGTCCCAATTCGCACCCCTTCCGATTGATCAATGTACACAAGACTTATTTATTCGTGTATTATACACACTCGTGTGTTATATGCACCCTTAATTATGGGCAATTAAATTCTGGAAAAATATATCAGTCGTATATTAACATTTCAGGCTATCAGCATAAATCACAAAGTTTACGATCTTTCAACTCTTTTTTTTTTTCACCAAAATTATATTCTAATAAGAGCCCCCTTTTTCTAATTTTGAGAGTGACTGGGAGCTTATTACGTCAAATATGGTCCATTTTCGTTTGTGAAGATCAAATAATATACAATTAGTTGCATAAGGGATACCGCCTTCCATGAACAAGTGTCTATAATAATGGGCTCATGGCTAGGTTAATTTATAAAAACATTCTCGGATTGGACACTTGGTATGTTTTGCTGGTAAGACATATATTACCGTATTCGACGTAATAAGCGCCCCGCTCTAATAAGCGCCCATGGCGATATTTGCTAATATATTGGCTAGTGAACAATCCCAATTAGCACCCCTCCCGATTGATCAATGTACACAAGACCTATTTATTCGTTTATAATACGCACTCGTGTGTAATATGCACCCTCAATTATGGGCAATTAAATTCTGAAAAAATATATCTGTCGTATATAAACATTTCAGGCTGTCAGCGTAAACCACGAAATTTATCTTTCAACTCTGTTTTTTTCACCAAAATAATATTGTAATAAGAGCCCCCTATTTCTAATTTTGAGAGCGCCCTGGGCGCTTATTACGTCGAATACGGTACATATATGAATAGGTGTTTTTCTCAACATTATATACTACTAAAAAAATGTTAAGGCCCACTTGATTCTTTATTATTAGTATAGATCATCTGTCATGCCATAAAGACTAACTATCATAATATGAAGGATTGGGGTGGTTCTTAACTTGTTTTGAGTATTTATATGTCTCAAAGCATTCATATACAAACCGGATCAGATTTGGTCATGATGTACTGCCAGGGACCATGAGTATTTCCACACAACTTGTTTTCATAACACAGCTTTCAAGTGTGACGTGACCTACAAGGCTGTAGTTAACTTTTTTGGACAGGGGGGGGGGGAATATTTGTACAAGTATCACTTGTCCCCAACTTGATTCAAATAAAACTGTTTTCTATAAAAAAATCTAGGGTGAGATGCTATCTGAAGAAGTTTGAATAACATCCAGTATTATATATACTATGCCATGACAGATTAAGTTTGGCAATATTAAAGAATCAGGTGGTCCTTAATTTCCTTTGAGCAGTATATATAGAACAAACATAGAAACACAAACCAGAGGACAGGTGGGCCGATCTACCCAGTGCAATATTGGAATCTTTACATTTTCATTTGGCAACACTCTGAAAAGTTGGGCTTGTCAAAAGTTGCAGCTGGCTGATTCTCGTGATCAAAACTGGTGATAATCATACCAATCAAGACTTTTTATGGTTTCCTTGTAACATGTCTGTGAGGTCCAAACAGAGGGGGTACGGGTGGCCCAGTCGTCTAAGGTGCCGCAATTCGCTGTGCAGAGTTGCACCCTTGGATACGCCAGAAACCTATGATTGTGGGTTCGAATCCCGGTTCGCCCCGATTATGTTACTAGGTTTGTCAGCACCATACCCGTGCTCGTGGGTTTCACCAAAGTGGTTTGACCAAAATGTCTAAGACCTGCATCACTTCGGGATTTCCTCCCACATTAAGCTGACATGCTGTTATATAACTGTAATACTGTTAAAAGCAGGGTTAAACCCAACTCACTCACTCCAAACAGAATGAATGAGAAGCACATGTAAAGCAACAAACAAACAAACCTTGTGGAAATACTTAAGGTTATTCACGTTAGGTTAGGCTGAACAGATACACCGTGAACCCACTGATTCTATGAACCCATAGCTTACATCATGAACATTATGATCGGCAAACCACAGCTACTTAATATCAAAACACTTGTATAATGAATGGACTAATATGAATCAGATTATTTGTTTATTTGTATGTGTATTTATATCTTAATGCTGCCAAATATTTGTATAAAATAATTATTTATTTAACTTAACCTAGTGCGAGTAATAGTCAGTGTTCATCTTAGATGCTATTGCAATCAAAATGTACATAGACACTGTAGAATAATGCGGAGTTTAAGTCTTTGTTTCCGAAACCAGGCAAATTAATATACAAGAACTGTTGTGATAGTTGAAACCTTGTATTTTGAAATAAAGTAATTATTAAGTTCCCTAAGCAAATCTAAAATGGCCCATATTTTTTCCCAAATTTATCAAAATATGAGAAATTAGGGGAAGTATTTCGTCCAAAGTTATTGACGGAAGATATTTTGATATTGCTGGGTTTTTATGTTATTTGTGTACTTCAGAATTTATTAACTTTTGAAGACAGGACTTTACTGTGTCACATACGATGACAATGTTTTTTAATGATTTGTCACGACTCTGGGACCAAGGTCAGCTACATGCTCACAGCCACTCTGTTTCCATAAGTGTTAAATTTGTCTGAAGTTGATGTTAAGCTGTTAGAATCTGTACATGTGCCAGAACTATATTGCTGTGCAATAGTCCCGTGTGGCCACTGACAGCCCGTGCATGCGCTGTATGTTAATGCAGTTATGTTTCATACATACCAAGTTTGTGTTGACTCAAAGATCATACCTCACCTTTTTTTTTTTTCCAAAGACAAAAAGCTAATGCTGAAATCGTAGACTGTCTTAAAGGAGGACTATGGTTGGGTTATTTGGCAGCCCCAGGAAGTAAGGATAAGATATATGGATGAACAACTTCTATATTACAATTAGGAGCGACGTTTTGGGGTAGGTTCTAACACTGTTATCAAGCAAGTGATGTGCAGAGTATGGTTGACAAGTTTATATACTGAATAGGAGGCAGTGTTTATACAGTTGAGTAGGTTTACGATGCAGTTACACTGCTGGAGTGGAGAAGCCCGTTATGTGTAAAACATATTGTGAACCCTGTATATATACTTGTCAACCATACTCTGTACATCACTTGCTTGATAACGGTGTTGGAACCTACAACGAAACGTCGCTCATACGTTGTTCATCCATAATTCTTATCCTTACTTAGTACTCCAACTTCTAAATGCCTCTCAAAGAAGTTAGCCCTAGGAGGTTTAACTTGACACATTCAAACACCACTTATTGCCCTCAGTACAGTGGACCCTGTGTACAGTGGACCCTGTGTATAGTAGACCCTGTGTATAGTGGACCCTGTGTACTCCAGACACTGGCTCTGAGTATAAGTCCCAATCTCCAATTACTTCTCCAAATACCGGCATTGTTTTCTGATCAGACAATTGCCTGCTGAAGAGGATTACAATAGGTGTCGAAAACCTTCTATGTTTTAGCATGTGTGCGATGTTTGTGTTTACCTAGCGTGTCAGTTAGCACTTTTAATTAGGAAACCACGCTAACTAGTGAGAGAACAATCTATAACAATCTGCTGCAGCTGTTAAATCCTTTCTTTTTGTTTCCTTTGAATTGACAAACTCTGAGTAGTCTGACAATATTTGCCGGTTGCACCTGAACCAGTTTAACAGAATCCACTGTACATCAGGGTGGCCCAGTCGTCTAACTCGCTGTGTAGAGTTGCGTCCCTTTGGCACCCCAGAAATCTATGATTGTTTTGGTATAGTTTTGGTATAGATCCTTATACCGTTGTCAAGCAAGACTGTCTTGCTTGACAACGGTATAAGATCTATACCGAAATGTCGCCTTCACTGTATTAAAGAAGTTGTTATCCATAAATTGTGTCTACTTTGTCATCCGTCAACTTCTAAATAATGTCTATCAAACAAAACAATGTTTCAGTTTTTACATTGATACCTTGACTGTGGATCCCCACCCCCACCCAGCTGACACGTTATGATATAACTGGAATACTACTAGTATTCAAAGTGGCGTTAAACCCAACCCACACTCTAGACAGTGGAACATAGTCCCTCTGTTAAAGACATGTAGTACTTTCGTATGTGGTTAAAACCACTCACCTTTATCATTAAGCTGTTTCCCCTAGAATAGACTGTTCTCGACAATCTCATTATTTCACGTCAGATCTTGTCCCATTTGCAAAATGAGTCTGTTTGTTTCCAATAACTCTAGCAAAGCAAGTCATGCGAGGAGAAGTTTCTCCCTGCTTGAAGTGAAGCAATGTTGTTTATTTACAGTTCCAGAGTCTTAATATATTCACGTTTGTATGAGAAAATGTATAAAATATGTTTTCACAATAAGTGTTATATAAATATATATATACATCATTTTCAGTCATTTATGAAGTTTTGGAAATTCTCCAGTTTACATTATTGAGTGGATGTTATATCTGAATGATCTAAAGAAGAGAGAAAATAGCTTACTTAGGGAGTCTTTTTAAGAGAGGTCTTATTACTTTAGAATCACATGGTTTCGATCTTAAAAACCATATGCCATGATGTGATTTATGCATACATGTATTTATTAATTTTGTAATTAAATATGAATTATGAGCAAACTATCTTCAGAGGAGATCGATTCCATTTTTAGAATAAGATTGTTTTAAAATCTAATGTGAAGAGTGTTCTAAAGTCCAATGCTGCAAAATTTGCTGAATCAACAGAAATGACTCCATAAGTGAACAATCAGTCTTCTTGAAGGTGATTCTGTGACTAACATAGATATATAAATATATGGTTGTGTTTACTGATGTACATTGGAGAATTTTGAAGACAAAGCTAGTCATGTTTTCATTCTCCTGTGTTGATGTTATCCTTTATTTTTGTACTTAAACTAGATGTAGATCATCATTTCATTGTAAACATATCAGTTTGACTACAGGGTCCATTTCGTTGAACAAATTTTGTACCTTGAGCTTGTTTATGTGGAAGAGGAAAATGGCCGACGGAAGGCTGCTCTCACGCAGATGCAATTGTCAGAAAAATGCATAGAGTTATTATACTGTGTGTATTATAATGTAAGTGTTGCTATGACAATAAGATGTGGGTGTTGCTATGACAACAATATTATGTAGGTATTGCTATTACAACAATAATATGTAAGTGTTGCTATGACAATGTGATGAAAGTGTTGCTATGACAACAGTTAATCAATCAAGGACAACCTGGAGCTGAGAAATGTTGCTGTTATTGAAGATGTGGCTCCATCCGTGCTTTGTTGGTGAATTAATTTGCTTTCTTTTTTTTGTCATGGCAACGTTTATGAAAATAATGAGTTGTATGTATGCCTTGTTTATGTTGGTTGTCATGGCAACATTTATAAACTAACTAGTGGTATGCATCATTTTCTCATCTATTCACCTTGGAACTACTTTTTCTCATGGAATTATTGCATATTTGTGAAATCTGACCTCATGTTTGTCATGATTTCGAATCGTGCTGATACGAAGTATTCTCCATGTTGTGAGGTGTGTTCAGTGACTCTTGCCCCCATTGTATATTTT